TGCGGAGGCAGCATTTCAGATTCATGCAGCAAAAACCTCCCTTCCCTAAAATGTGAGACAGGCTTCTACATCGACAACAGTTCTTTTGTGACTGCAATGAAAGGATTTGATCTATTTGTCTTTTTAAATGAATTATTAAAAATGAATGTTGTGTGATTCATTGTATGATATTAATGTTTCCTCTTGTTTTGTAAAAACACTTTGAGTTTTATAATTAATACTCAACGCCTTGAGGATTCATTATAAGAGGGTAAATATACAAATAAACATATTCTCTTTGTTTCACTTGTTTAAAGCAAACACGAGAAAAGGGTTTTCATAAAATGAAATGATTAAATAAAACCAGTATTAAAAAAAATAGGGATCAACAAGAGCAAAACTTGAATCATTTGTTTTGCTCGTTTTGAGTTGTATGTTTAGTTTTGTGATTTACTGAACAGAATGTGACGTTGTATATAATGATGATAATGTATTGAGGCGGAGAGTGGCCTGTGTTCCTCTAAAAGCCTGTAATAACAGGGCGCACACACCGGGCCCTCCTCCGACCGCTGCAGTTCTGAGGAGCCAGTCGCTGCTTGGGTGAAAGTCCATTCGGATGTAATTGGCAGTGGAATTATTTATGACATTAATTGCCACATTATCGACTGGCTGTCAGCTCCTCTGTCACTCTGTCCATCTTTCTTAGAGGAAAGAGCCAGCTCAGCCTGATGCCCAGTGACAAGCTAATTACTCCGTCAGAGGCCTGAATGACAAATGTTACTCATCCAGGATATACAGCGGGAAATAGCCCTCTCCCTCGCTCTCTCCTCTCTTCCTCTCTCCTTCTCTCTCTCCCTCTCTCCCTCCTGGTGCTGGAGGAGAGGAAGGACAGCATTTCCTTTTCTCTATAGAGCCCTGTGCAGCTCACTATCACTGGCCACATGTCAGTCATACACACAGCATTCTTAGCCCGTTGTACATTTGCATTAGCTGACGCCAGTCCATCATGAGTGATGGAGGCTGACACAATGATTGGTCCTTAGTTCTGCTGACAGCAGGCACAGAGAGCGTGCCTTTTGGGGAGGTGAAGTCAAGTCTGCAGCAGAGAAACAAGCCTGATGGATTGGATTCTGTACGGAACACATTTAAGAAATAGATGATAGACAAGATTATGTTTGTATTATTAATTTTGACGGAGTGTCTATCTGTAGAATTTAGAACACACTTATTTGAAAATTGACACGTCATTAATGGTGGCAGTTCTTTGTGGCGTGGTGGCAGTAGCAGCAGTAGCAGTAGTTGCAGTAGTAGTAGTAGTAGTAGTAGTTTCAGTAGTATCTGGCGTCTGGGCTGAGGCCTGCAGGCTGCAGCTGAATGTCAGTGATCTGCTGCAGTCGTCTGTCTGCACAGGTCACGGCGCTCTCTGCCTACAGGTAAAACCTTAATGAATCCACTGTCATCCACTCATCTACTCACACGCTCATCCACGGCAGGCATATGTCAGACCACCGCCCGCCATCCCATAATGCACTTTGTGTTGCCTTGGCAGCCTCAGATGCGTCCGTGACGGAGATAGGAAGTGACACGCACCAAACTTGGTGTGTCCCCCAGCCAGCTTCAGCAGCGCCGGTGACTGGGGCCTGTCAATTCCAGCTCCGTCAGCCGCACTGGCTCAATGGCAGAGCCACTGACACATGTCACAAACTTTTAAATGTCTGCTCTTTTCAGCAGCCAGGGGAACCATGACATTTGTGTCGTGTGGGGGAACTTGTTGTGGCTCCCACTTCCTGCCTCCTCTGCCTGTCACTCCCACTCTGCACTGAGCATATCAAAATACAGACAAATAAACCTTGTCATTTTGAAGGAGCAGCACAAGTCCCTGCTCCTCACAGACTCTGTCACTGACCAGAAGTGGACACTGGAGAACAGTCTGGACCACACAACGTGTAAACACATAACCACACAGAGAAGTGACCTTTCATGTCTGTGACTGACACTGATGCTCTTCCAGTGTTACATCTGACCCGAGGCTCCGGCCGCAGGGGCCTCAGCCTCACCAGGGGCCTCAGCCTCACCAGGGCCTGGTCTGACCACTGCTGGACACAGGGAGGATGCAGACCTCTATTTAATGATCCTTCACAGCAGTTACTGTATCAGGTTCATGTGACATCACAACATAATCGACTCTTTATAAAATCACAGTTGGTGAAACCAGTCGGCGTTCCCGCTGCTGTCAAAGTGCCCCATTCACACTGACACTGAGTTCATTTGTCTTTTTCTGTAAAGAGTAAAATTATGAGTTTCTCTTCAGCTTCAGAAAGTGGTTTCATTGTTGGTCTTTAAAAGCTCTTCATGTGAAGCTCAACCAAACAATGAGCTTCAGCCTCTTTCAAAACCTCTGAATCATTATATTTAGTGACATTCGAGAACTTATCGATTATTATTATTCAGACCTGAGAAAGTTAGTTCTGGATGATTGAGAAACTGAACTTAATTTTTGTGCCTGCACTAAAACCGTGGCAAAGTCCCGCCCTCCCTGTGAAACAATGACATTACTCAGACACATCAGTGATACAGAACATTTCTCTTCAAATATAAAATAAAACCAGATCTTACCTCTGATAATGAATATAAACTTCTGCACCAGTGAAATCATTGATATTGCACAAAATTAAACTTATTGACACAGTCTTACAGTGAAGAAATCAGAGCAAATATCTATGTTTATATGTTAAAGCTAGTGTACCTAACTTTCAAAAACCAAAAACTCTTCAATATAACATTTAGTTTTGACTTAAAACATGATTTCACACCGACAAATAATTCTCTTTATTATCTTTAATCAACTAACAACAAGGCATCATATATTCTTGTTTATGTTTCTGCCATCTTGAATTATTGAGCTGTTAAACTATTTTTTTCCAATTGAGAGAAATTCAAATCACATTCGGTGCTGTAATGGTCTTCATTCTAATCTAATTATTAACATGGTACATATTCTGTAAACAACCACAAAAGTTTGTATTTTTGCATACTAGCCCTGTGAGTCACTATTCGACACTCCGGGCTGAGAGCTGATTGGCTGAATGAGGGTGGGTCTATCTTTTTTCACATTTACACGCAGGTGAAATCCAGCGAAAGAAGCGATCTTGTTTGGAGAGTAGTAGGACTCGTGAGCTGGAGACGGAACTAAACGTAACTCTCTGCGTGGAATATGGAGCAGGCCGACCGTCTTAAATCCCCCCTAAGAGCAGATGTGCGTGCCGTGACATAAGAGGACCAAGACCGAGGGGGAGGGGGGGATGGAGGGAATGGAGGGAGGGGGGGAGAGTGATGAGCCCCAGTCAGGCCCCAGGTGTGCGGCCGTCACCCCCTCGCCCTTGATTAGTGGCAGCGGCAGATAGGTGATCCATCATGGCTGTCACACAACACACAGCCAATTGGAAGGATGAGTTTGTCACCGACAGAGAGAGAGAAAGAGAGAGAGAGAAAAAGAGAGAGAGAGAGCTTTTGTTTGTGCTGCTGATGCTTAAAGGCAATCATGTCATCTCCAGTGTCATTCGCCGATTTTCCACTCAGGCACTGGCCGAGAGCTCGACAAGGGGAGGGCTGGGGCGCGACCGAACGGGGTTAGACGGCGTAGGCTGCTTCTTTCATTCAAATTGGTGACAGTCTCGGATCGTTATAACGCGTTTTGGATGATTTCTATTTCAATATCGCTCTGAAATGACCAGATATAAGACATGAATGTGCTCTCTTACGTATGGTTGAAAATGGAGTTGTTGTCTGTCTATGGTTCGCCCTGTGGAGCTATTATAGTGTATTGGTTTAAATGGTATTGCTAGCTTAAGCTCCACTCCTGTGTGTGCTCAGAGGCCACTCGCGGTACTGCAAGCTTATTTCACACGGGCTGAACGTAGATTGTGATTGTGAACACTCAGATGGGGAACCAACAGCTTTCAGCCAAGTTGGATTTTGTGGGAATTTTAATCTTTTTTGCAAAATTTAACTTATTTTTCTCATTGTATATTTTATAAATCCATACTTTTGTGCATCAACCTCGTCCCGCTCTAAACCAGTAGCTAATAGCAAAGACAGTCAGAACTATGGACTGTAATATAGATAGACAATGCTAACGCCCTAGCTCAATGAAGCCCAATATGAAGTTTTAACTTAAATCACTTTGGCTCCTGACTTACATTGAAAACAGTCATTTTGGGGTAAAAAAAAAAGACTCTGATCCAAGGTGTTTTTATTTTGAAACTGTCATCGTAAATGCAGATATGAGCCCTTGCAACTGACCAACCAGCACGAGCAGAGACAGACCGGCACCGCTCCTGATTGGCCGCTCGGTTGCTTGGCGGTTGCTACCCACAAATGTGCGTACGGTTATTTCAGAATTCTCGCTCCAATGGCCTGTTAGCTCTATGTGATAGTTTTAGCTCCTTTTAGTTCTAGTTTGCCGATTAGAGCTAGCTCATAGACCACGCTTTTTACGGTCTATAGTCTATATATACTGCACCAGAACTTATCTTTCGCTCATTTTTGGGAGGGACCAATTTCAAGCATGCACACAGGCATCGGGATTGGGTATGTCACAAAACATCACAGCAGGTCATGGCCAGCGAGTAGTATTAGATTTGTTTACATTGGGGCCAAAAATATCTGTGCGCCATGGTTCAATAATTACAGGTCCCTGATTTAACAAATAAAAAAGGATATCATTAACATTGCAATTTCTTCTAACAAAAAATCACTTGTGAAATGCAGTAAACGTAAAACATCAGTGCTCTGGGCGTGACTAACTGTACTCAAATACATGAAACCAAAACTCCCTAAAATACATGCATGGGTCTAAAAACAATACTTGTGGGTAAATCAAATGTTTCAAAGCTAATAAAAAAAACACATTTGGCTCAATAGCGTCTCCTGAAGATGTGAAAACTCCTCAATACAAAACTAGTACAAGTATGTGTGGTGCTCTGTGCGATCCACTGGGGGCGCTGTGGAGGCGGCCGACATCAGAGCTGGTCGTTCCGGATGAATCTGTTTCCTTCTGAGTGCTTTCCGTAGTAGATGTAGCGGCACTTGGTGAACAGGCCTGCAAACACACATACAGAGAGGTTAGACTGAGTGAAGTATGGATTATGAATATTGTTTAAAGTCTGGCTTGAAATAAAGTATAGGACTCAAGCCAAGTTTGTTTTTATAGATATAGAACCTAAAAAAACAAGTGTATTAAAAAATAAAAATGAAAATTAGGCAATATGGGAATCAAAATAATGGCCGATATTGATTTACACTGTACAAAAATATACTCGAGCTGTAATTGAAGATTATTTTGACAATCAGAATGTGAGAATATGGAATAGGGAATAGACTGTGATTTATCGATTACCAACTTATTCAAAAAGACACATGTTGTTCTGGTGAGATTGGTGTCTCTCCATTTTCCTGCACAGGCCGATCATTGACCGTGACAAAAGCTGAGACTGTTTTATCTTTTCATTTTTGGCACAGCCCTAAGGTGAAGTTTTAAGAACGAACAGGTGAATAATGACAAAAATGTTTTAAAAAATTCTTGAATTCGTACAACAATTTTTTTGTCTTAAAACAAGATTTAAAAACATTTCAAGAGCGACATCAACGTTAATGTTTGATCAAATCGTATGAAATCTCAAAATGTGCATTATTGTTGTTGTGAACCATTGCAGTAATATAATAACATATTCAGCAGCTGCAGTATCTACGTGTTCAAAATACTGTTAATACTATAAATTATTAGTGAAATGACCTTTTCAATCAATCAATCAAGTTTATTCAAAAAGCACAATTCATGCAGTGCAACCCAACACAGACATAAAACCATAAACCATAAACCATAAACAAACATTTTAAAAAAAAATAAAATGTTTGCCATGAAGAAGAAGAAACATTTTAGAGTGAATGTCAGAATTAATACCGTATAATATTCAGCTTATCTGTGGATTAGTTTGGCTTGAGCTTTCCTAAGTGTTCTAAAGACATATATGGACAATGTAAACACTTATAATAACAGGTGAATCATCGTGCCCGGAGGCCTGACAGCGAGAAGCAGCCGCCTCCCATTCCAGCCTCCACCAAACCTCCAGCTCCATGTGCGGAGAGGACAGGTCCGCCTGCCACTATGTTCAACACGCCATTAAAATCAGCCTGAGGACTTCAAATCAATAGAAGAATACTTCAGAAATGCAGTACAGCACAGACAGAAGTACAAACGTCGATATAATTAGGTAAATATTTCATACGCTTTAAAGTCATAGGTCATTTCTGTGGAGAAGCAGAAGGAATATATGTTTGTCAATGTATTTGAGAAATAAAAACACACATAATATTGTCAGCCTGAGAGTCTCCTAAGTCCTCGTTCTACAGCCTGAGTCCTGAATCTACAGCCTGTTTGTCCGTAGGAGCGGAGACCTCTCTCAGTGTGGGTCTCTCCGAGGTTTCTACTTTTCCCTTTATTTTTTATTTGAGTCATTCTTTGCCGAATGCAGAAGGGTCCAAGGGCAGTGATGATCCAGAACATTAATTAACATTTGTGGACAGTGGTCATGTCGCTTTCTGTGTCCGAATGGCTCCCATGTGTGTTTTTATTATTGCATTTCCTGTATTCAAACTGTTAGATTCTCTTGATCTGTTGTTAACTTGTTTAAGTCCTCATTACAGTATACACAAGTATACAGAAGGGAGTTATTTAATGCTGGACCTACCCTAAAAAATAACACTAGTTTTCATAGTATTTTTTAGCATTTGCAGGTAGAAAGGTGAAAAGAGAGAACCACCCTCACTCAGCCAATCAGCTCTGAGCCCAAAGTGTCAGACACTTTATCACACGGCTCTTTTGTTTGTTTTGTAATAAGATGAAGACAGAATACATATACTTTTCCTTTTGTTGTTCACAAAAATAGGTGTCCCAGCTTTAAGCAATTTTCTATTATTTAAATATGATTATTATGCGGCTCTTCACAGTAGAAGTAGAACGCTCCATGGATCTGGATGTAATTTCAAAACGTTCTACCGGTCAGTATTTCTTGATAACGGACCTCTAAAACCAATAATGCCCTCCAGACCTCCCTGTTGGTACTTACTGTATTTTCCGATAATAACCTGCGTTCTATACATCACCCCTTACTTTAAAACAATTATAATCTGGATATTACCCTTTATATATAAAACAAAAAAAGTGTTAAAAAAAATTCTGATGCAGTTAGACCCGCCCCCACAGACGCCCATCACTATTGGTCTAACTATTTTCCTCCAGCTAATCTTGGTGAGGCTTATTCCAAGGGAAGGGACCATTTTATATATGGTATAAAATGGTTTTATATACAGTATATAAAAACAATATATTCATATGAAAAAGACAGGGTCATATTGTCAAAAATATGTATTCTTTTCAAAGGAAACACAAGTAGCAGTTGCAGCCATGTCTGATGCACAGTAGTGCCATAGACTGTAAATATGCTAGTACACTGCACAAGATGGCTGCCTGTGTCTCTTGTAATGAAGCAGGGGGCGTGGGCTGTCCACACCTACAGCTCCTGGCCTTTAAAGCTCATGGCTGTGACTTGATGAGTGCTCCGGCTGCAGATCGCTGTCACCTCTCGCCCAATGAGCCAAGGACAAGTGGCAATAGTCCTGTGGATGATCCTCTGACAGGGCAACACGCACAGCTTTTGGCCTGGCTTGTTTTTTTTTTTTAAATAGACATCAAGTGCATTCCAGCCGGTGAGAAGAGAGCGGAGAGAGACACGAGAGGGCCGCTCCGAGCAGCAAGTCCAATCACATAATCCAAAGAGACATTGTCAAGGGCGGGGAGCGAATGGCAACTAAGTGACAGAAAGCAGAGATGGGGACAGAGATACTGGTGCCATATTAGTGCCAAGCATATTCTGATGCCACCCTCAATTCTAACCAAACCTGACACGCCGCTCTCGTCTTGTGCCCCCGCTCCCCGCCGCTCTTCAAAGTGCTCGCGCGGGAAGAAGACAGTGGCGGAGACAGCACGCACACACAGACGCACACACACACAGACGCACACACACAGCAGTCCCTCGCAGCTGTGGTGGGTGCTCTGTCAGGCGCAGTGGCACAGGCAAGCACGAGCCGGCCTCGGGACAAGCTCAGTCAATCTAAATCTGGACTCTGTAGTGCGCAGTGCTCATTTCCCCCCCTCACAGCCCGCCAACTTGAGGTGATCCAAACACTCAAGTGTGAGGAGCTGTCACCTCCGATAACATCCGCGGGACCTCTCTGTGCTGCCGAGGTGCATACGTATATACTCGTACCGCCTGGTGACGAGAGAGAGAGAGAGAGAGAGATAGAGGATTGGTCTTGGTGGTAGGTGGTGGGTGGGTGATTTGCCGGAGGATATGGGCGCAGTGGTTGGAGAGTAGGTTTGACACGGTAGGACTAGGGCCCCGTCTGGCAGCGCTGTGATCATGCGGGCAGTCGGGGGGCTCTCGCACATATTCGCCTTAGCCCCCGCAGAGGAGCTAACACTCTCCCACTGAGCTACTGTAGAGGTGGATGGTGGAAGGTGTTGGCGGCAAGGGCTGTGTCTGGCTGTGGCTGACCTGTGACTTTACAGCGGCGTCTGGAAATACAATCTGAGATCAAAAGAGAAATGTGTTACAATGTGCGCGATCCGAGGCAGGTGAAAGAAAAGAAATGGATTGAAGTTATTTTTCGCTTGACATGCTTCTCGACGTGCTATAGTCGACCATTATTCATTCAGTCTGAGTGATGGAAGCGTGGCAACCAATCTGCACTCTCGGATTACCGCCGATCACTCACACACTACCTTTTCCCCTGGCAGTGGTGGGAGAAGTAAGAAGTGTTGACTGAAAAGTATATTAAGTACAGTATTATTACATTTTTTACTTTGCATTTAACATAATGTGCTTTTTTGGACACTCAAAGATGCTTCACATGTCCTTATTCTTTCACTCCATACACATTGGTGATAAACTACTGGCAACCAGTACATGCCATCGGCCCCTCCGACCACCACCAGCCTGAGTTTTTCAATCAGGTGCATTGGAGTGTGGAAAATGTTGGCATTTTGGCACACTACCCCCAACTAGTCCCCATTACAGTGATCCCCAAAGTTTTAAAAAACGTTATTCATTGAAAACAATCACATCACCAGCGGAAAGGGATTGTGCTGTCTTTTTCTTTAACAATGTAAAGTCATTTTCATCAAACTGTATTATACCGAAAGTTAAACAAGCACAAAAAAGTCTTTCTAATCTTCGCTCATTATTTTCTTCTCACATTATCTTGACCAATGAGGTCATATGGGATCATTTCCAAAGACACCAAAAACAACATCTGAAGCCACACTGGCTGGTAAACACTGCCCTAGTATTCCCCAGATCATTTCTGTGGACAAACATTTATGTTTATGGGAATTAGATGTAGACACATTTAAGGATAGAAGAGAACATTATTACAGGTGAGTGTTGTACATGTGTCGATAAGTGACCCTTTCCTTGGTTCCTTTCCTGGAATCAGGTTCCTTCAGTGCGACGCAATCTTTTGATGTAGACAGATTCTCGGTTAATGTCGAATCAAAGAAATGAGAATCAGTCTGAGATGGGTTCAGAAGTTGTTCCAGTTATTTCAGTTCTCACCGTGTTTCTTCAGACTTCTTGACAGAGAAAGCATTTTAGACGCCAAATATGCATCACATCGAAGAGGCCAATCCACTGATGTTAGCTATAGTCACAACAAGAGAAACAAAACTGAACTCTGATCACTTTTGTCTTGTGTCCGTCCATTTTGTGAAGGTCATTTCTCTCACCAGGTTACCCCCAAGCCGATCCTAGATGGCGGCCTCTTCAAATCAATGGCTTGTGCTTAATACCACATGTGCCACCATGGGCCCAGAGGGGCTCGGCATGTCCTGACCAATCAGACGCTGCTGATCAGAGCCGAGTGAGAGCGGGAGCCAAACGAGCAGAGTTTGTGGCATTTAAGTGTGGATTTATAGAAAACCGAAGGATTTAAGAATAAAAAAGTTCAGGACGACAAGAGACACTAAAATCCGACCTTTATGAA